GCACTTAAAAATGGTGAAAATGATAAATTTTATGTTCTGTATATTTTAGCTATAATAATAAAAGGAAAAAGGAAAAAAACAGCAAAAAAATCTTTTTCAGACATATAAAACAAAAATAATTCACTACCACCAGACTGGAATAACACTACATCTTAAAGGATAACAGAGGAATAAAGGCCACCAAAACTTTGAGCTATAAAATAACTTCCAATAGTTAAAAGGACTTAAATCATGTATTTTTCATTAAGAAATGGTATCTATGGTTAAATATAATTATTTTCCTAATGTTAAATCTCTTTGAAACTGATTTCTTAAAAGCATAAAAATAAGAACATAGCATTAGGGGTTTTAAGACATACCTAGAAGGAAAATGCATGACACCAAAGCACAAAGGAGAGAAACAGAATGAAAAACTGTTGCAAGGTCTTAAACAGACTATTTCAAGAGTCTACCTTCATGTGGTAAGTTAAAGATATTTATCAGGAAGACTAAATGCAAGCAGAAACAAACAAGGTGAGGGGATCTTAATGATAAAGGGATTAGTTCATCACGAGAATATAACAAGTCTAGGGATGTTATCTAATAAAATCATATATGTCTATATAACAAGAAATGATAAAAATCAAAGAGAAACACCCCAATCCAAAATTTCAGTTGCCAATGTCATCCTACTTTCCTCAATAATTAATAGAACAAGTAGAAGCAATAAAGATATAGAAGAACTGAACAACATTCAACCAACTGACCTAAAGAGAGTTAAGAAACAATACACAAAATTACATCAAAATATGCATTATTTTCAAATGCATACAAAACACTTACCAAGATAGACCATATTCTTTGGTACAGAACAATTCTTAGTAAATTGACAGAATAAAATCATATAAAGTATTATTCACAATAGCCAAGATATGGAATCAGTGTTAAGTGTCCACAAATGGATGAATGAATAAAAAAAAATAGGGGGACTAGAGAATATCAGGCTAAGTGAAAAAAGCCGATCCCAAAAAACCAAAAGCTGAATGTTTTCTCTGGTAAGTGGATGCAGGGGGATAGGGAAGAATGAAGGAACTCTGGTTTGTGCAGAGGGGAGCGAGGAGAGGGGTTGGTTTGCAGGTATGGGAAGGTCGGAGAAATAGACAGACATTATTACCCTATATGCATGTATGATTATACTACTGAAGTGACTCCACACCATGTACAGTAAGAGGAATGAGCAGTTGTGCTTCATTTGTGTACAATATGTCAAAATACATTATACTGTAAAAATAAAGAAAGAAATAGGGTGTGTGGGTATATGGGTGTGCGCAAGCGCACATACTATATCTGCGCATATGCAATACGTGTTGAATACTATTCATCCTTAAAAAAAAAAAAAGAAATATTTTTTCTTCTCTCTTAAAAGAAGGAAATCTTGCCAGGCGCAGTGGCACATGCCTATAATCCCAGCAACTCTGTAGGCTGAGGCACAGGAAGATCAAAGTCAGCCTCAATAGATTAGCGAGGCACTTAGCAGCTCATCAAGACCCTATCTCTAAATAAAATGGTGGAGGCGGGCAGGCTGGGGATTGGCTCAGTGGTTAAGTGCACCAAAAATAAATAAATAAATAAGGAGGAGGAGAAGGAGGAGGAGGAGGAGGAGGAGGAGGAGGAAATCTTGAGCTCTGCAACAGGATACAATGGATAAACCTTAAAGGATATTATGATAAGCAAAATAGGCGAGGCACAGAAAGACAAATACTGAATAAGTTTACTTTTTGAGATATGAAATTTTAAAATGTCAAGCTCGCAGAAGTAGAATGAGGGGTAAAGAAAAACAGAAACTTAATCAAAAGATATAAAGCTTCAGTTATGCAGAACAAATAAATTTTGGAGATCTAATCTATACCATATAGTCAAAAATATGGTATTGTTGAGGTGCAGTGGCACACGCCTTATAATGCCAGCAGCTGGGGAGGCTAGACAGGAGGATCTTGAGTTCAAAGCCAGCCTACCCCAGCCTCAGCAACAGTGAGGTGGCACTAAGCAACTCAGTGAGACCCTGTATCTAAATAAAATACAAAATAAGGCTGAGGATGTGACTCTGTGGTTGAGTGTCCTTTAGTTCAATCCCCTGTACCAAAAAAATTACAGTATTGTTTGCTTGAAATTTGCTAGGTCAGGGCAGTAGATCTTAAACACTCTCACCATACCAAAAAATGGAAAACTATGTGAGGTGATGAATATGTTAATTAACTTGATAGTGGTAATAATTGTGCAATATATATGTATATCAAATATGTATGTATATCAAAACATGATATTGCACACCCTACTATACCTTAATAAAGTTGGCAAAAAAAACTAATTATCTACTAAAGAAATGTTAAAAAAATACAAAGCATAATTTTCTGATCACATGGATTTAAATTAGAAACCAACAGCAGAAATATCCTTGCAAAATCCCTATATATCTGGAAACTAAATAACACCTTTCCAAATAGCCCCTGTGACAGAAAGAAATCAAAAAGCAGAATTAATCCCAAGGTAAACAAATGAAATAAAAAATATCAGAATGAGGGGGCTGGGGATAAAGCTCAGTTGGTGGAGTGCTTGCCTTGCATGCAGAAGGCCCTGAGTTCAATCCCCACGCCACCAAAAAAAAAAAAAAAAAAAACAATGAAAATCAATGCTATAGCAAAAACAATACAGAAAATTAATAAAACCAAAGCTGTTTTTTAGAACAAAAAAATTAGTAAACCATTCATATTAACAAGTTAAAAAAAGACATTGATTACTAATATCAAGAATGAGTAATAGTACATCACTACTGATTCTACAGATATTAAAAGGATAGAAGATTGTTATAAATAGCTTTAGAGATCCAACAAATTAAGTAAAATGGCTAAATTCCTGGAAAGATGGAAAGCTTACTCAAGAAGAAGCAGATAGCTAGAAAATGTATGTACTAAAAATACATTTTCTGAATCTACTAAAGAAATTAAATATGTAATAGTTTAAAAACCTTCCCACTAAGAAAACTATAGGTCCACATGGAATACTGCCCAACACAGCCTGTAAAACCAGCATTATGCTAATACCAAACCATCACAAAATAAACAAAACCAGAACAAATAACCCTCAAGAGCACAGAAGCAAAACTCCTAACAAATTTTTAACAAATTAAATAAAGCCTAACAATCTGTGAAATTGGTAATACATTATAGTCAAACAGGCTTTACCCCAGAAAAGAAACAACAGTTTAACGTTAAAATTAACAAAATGAAAAACAAAAACAATGTGATTCACCATATTAACAGACCTTTTAGAAGTATGGTCATTTCAACAGATGCCCAAAAAGCATTTGACAAAATCCATTATCTATTATGATGAGAATATTATCTGTTCGTAATAAGAGAAACCTATGACTCTATGGTATAACCACTCTAGAAAACAATTTAGCAGTTTCTTATAAACAGATACCTACTACATGAACTCTATTCAGAAATATTTATTCAAAAGGAAAAATAAAAAACTTGACCAGACAGAGCTCTATATACAAATGTTTACAGAAGTTTTATTTGTAAAAACCAAAATATGAAAATAAACCAGATTTCAAATAACATGTGAATATGGAAAATGTGCAACAGAAACCACTGAGCAATAAAAAGAAGCAAAATCTTTTTATACACTACATGGATGAATTTCAAAGTAACCATGTATGTGAAAAAACCCTTTGCAAAAAAGGGGGGTGGTGGTTCATATTATATGGTTCTGTTTATATAAAATTCTACAAAATGTAAACTGATCTATATTGACAGAAAGTCTGAGGACAGGGTAAAGGGAGGGATGGAGGGAAGAATTACAAAAGAACACCTGTTGATTATCTTGACTGTGTTGATGGTCTCATGGACATCTGTGTATGTCAAAATAGATCAAAAACTGTAAACTTTAATTGTGCACAATTTATTTTACCTCTAGCTATTTGAAGAGTGGTAACAGTTGCACATCAATGTAAATGTACTTGTTGCCACTGAAGTGCACATTTAAAAAATGAGTTAAATACCAAGCATGGTGGCCCATGCCTATAATTCCAGCTACTCGGGAGGCTGAGGCAGGAGGATCACAAGTTCAGCCTGGAAAACTCAGCAAGATCCTGTCTCAAAATAAAAAGGGTTGGGGATGTAGTTCAGTGGCACTTGCCAATCATGTGCAAGGTCCTGGGTTCAATCCTCAGTACCAGAAAAACAAAACAAAAAAGATTTAATTGGTCATTTTTATGTTTATTTTAGTACAATTTTTTAAAGGCCTCATAAAAACAGAAGGTTACTGAATTTAAAACTGACGCTAAAAGCGATAATGCCTATAGTCAGTAATAAGACAAAGAATTCATATTTCCAGTCTGTCTACCATCTTCACCACATGTTTTGTCTGTAATGAACTATAATTTACAACAGTAGTTCCATAGTAGAACTGAAAAGACTCCTATCACCTAGTGATGTCTTAACATCCTAACATAATGCATAAATCATGTGTTCTATGGTGATGTTAAAGTAAACATATTTATTGTGCTGCCAGTCATCTAAGAGGACAGCACATATATTTATGTACATGTTATACTTGATGGTGATATGTAACAACTATGATACTAGTTTGTGTATTTACTATACTCTTTATCAGTATGTTATAGTGTATTACTTTAGTTTATTTAAAAAAAAAAAAAAGTTAATGCATAACAGTATGCCATACCCAGCAACAGCCTCATACAACTTCATACAACTTGTGTTTGCTGCTCTTGATGGCATCAAGAAGCTACATCAACTGACTGATTCAGACCACCTAGGTGTGTATAGGTATACTCTATAATGTTCATAGAGTAAATCACCTACTGACAGATTTCTTGTAATACATAACTGTCATTAAGCAATGTACAATGGTACTTCTTAAATTTAAGCTGTCATTTTAAATGTAAATGTAATTTACATTTAAATGTAAATATAAACGTGTTTACAAACTGTTACCTGTGAGATATGATTGATGGAAGACTCCATTCTCCGAAGCTGAGAGGCCTGGATATCCAATAACTGGAGAACATTGTTGGCCAATGCATTTATTTGATAAGCAACACTAGCTAGAGATTGAGTTGTATATGCTTTGGTTTCTTCTAAAGCTTTTCTCTTGTCTGTAGCCTGAAACAAGAACAAAAACAATCAATATTTACTTAGATTAACATTCATCATGCATTCATTCTATAGAAAGACAAATTATAATTTTAATTTAAAAAAGCATAATTCAATCAAAAAATTATTGCACCATTATTATTATAGTCTTAGGATACTGAATTAAGCTGACGACAGAAAACTAATTTTTTTAAATCTGACCTTGTTACCTGATTTTAAGACATACCACAGGGAAGAGTAACCAAGACAGCATGGAATTGACATAGACTAATGAAAAAATGACATAGACTAATGAAACAGAATTGAGAACTTAGAAATAAATCCACACATCTATAGCCAATTGATTTTTGACAAAGGTGTCAAAAACATACAATGTAGAAAGGGCAGATTTGTCAATAAATAGTGCTTGGAAAACTGGATACCCATATGAAGAAGAAAGAAACCAGACCCTACTTCTTTCTATATATATGGTGATCCATTGAAGTGGATAAAAGGTGAGACTGGAAACTACGAAACTGCTAAGGGAAAGCACTTTAAGACATTGATACAGGCAATGACTTAAAAAATACTTAAGACCCCAAATGCATAGGCAGCAAAAATAAAAATAGGCAAATTGGATTATATAAAAAATAAGAAGCCTCTGCATAGAAAGGAAATAATCAACAGAGTGAAGAGACAATCTAAAGAATGGAAGAAAATATTTTCCATCTATTCATTTAAGAACGGTTTGATGTCCAGGATACACAAGGAACTTGAAAAACTCAACAAAAAAGGCAAATAATCCAACTGAAAAATAGGCAAGTGGTCTGAATAGGTAGCTCTCAAAAGAAGTACAAATAGCCAAGTGTATGAAAAGCAACATCAAAACAGTATGGATATTCCTTAGAAAACTTGGAATGGAACCACCATTTGACCCAGCTCTCCTACTCCTCTATCTATACCCAAAGACTTAAAATCAGCATCATATAGTAATACAGCCACATTACTGTTTATAGCACCTCAATTCCCAATAGCTAAACTCTGGAACCAACCTGTATGCCCTTAAATAGATGAATGGATAAAGAAACTGTGGTATATATACACAATGGAATATTACTCAGCATTAAAAGAGAATAAAATTGTAGCATTGCAGGTAAAAAAAAAAAAAAAAAAAAAAAATCTGACCTTGTAATCTAAATTCACTTACTAGCTTTTGTCACTTTTTTTGTGATTCCTGAGGATATTCTATACGATCATGCTGTCTTTAAATAAAAACAATTTTATTTATTATTCTCAATCTGTATATCTTCAGTTTCTTTTTCTTGCTCTACTACACTGACTGGGGACTTTAATATAATATTGAATAAAAGTAGCTGCTCCCAACATCAGAGGAAACACATTGTCTTTTACAATTAAAACACAGAACAAAGGTTTTCCATTGATGCTCTTTTTGAGAATATGGAAGTAAATCTTGGTTATTTTCACTGTTAGACTTTCATCTGCCTATTTTTTACTTTTCAGTGTACAGGTTATACACATCGTTTTCTCTCAGAGTGGAAAACAATGCCTGCTTTAAACTAAAGTCTGTTGTTCCTTTCCTCTCAGGCATAAAGTTACATTTTATTTCTCCACTTCCTTTACTATATGATCATATAAATAAGTAGCACTAATGATGCTATTTATGTCAGAGGAAATAATGCCACTTCAAGGCCTGATCATAAAAACCTCCCATGCATGTTCCACAGCAATAAAGTAAAATATGTTTGTATCAAAACAATAAAGTTGTGTTTAGCAGAAACCAAGATTTTATAATGCCTCCATTTTTAAATTTGAAGTAATTAAAATTAGACAGAATTTTAAATTTTATTTTCTCAGTCTTGCCGTACTTTAACTGCTAAATAGCCACGTGTAGACCGAAATTACCTTATTGGGAGATACAGTTCTAGTCACAGTTAATTTCCTCTAAGAACTATGATTTGAAAGTTAAATCTACACACAAATTACCATTGCCACTTATTTTGATTTTGTAAGTTTAGTATCCAAGAGCTGGTCTTCCTCCCCTAGATATTTTTACTACATAAATACCAAACGTTAGTATCTTCCAAAGGTCACAAAAAAACTGATTATAAAATAGAAGACAAGGGCTGGGGATATAGCTCAGTTGGTAGAGTGCTTGCCTCGCATGTTCAAGGCACTGGGTTCAATCCCCAGCACCAGCCACATCAATGTTCATAGCAGTACAATTCACAACAGCTTAACTGTGTGGAACCAATCTAGATGCCCTTCAATAAATAAATGGATAAGAAAAATGGGACATATATACACAATGGAATATTACTCAGCAATAAAAGAGAATAAAATCATGGCATTTGCAGATAAATGGATGGAGTTAGGAAAGATAATGTTAAGTAAAGTTAGCCAATCCCAAAAAAACAAATGCTGGATGTTTTCTTTGATACAAGGAAGCTGATTCATAGTGGGATAGGAAGGAGGAGCATGGGAGGAATAAATGAACTGTAGATAGGGCAGAGGGGTTGGAGGGAGAGGGTAAGTTTAGGGTAATTAATGATGGTGGAATGTGATGATCATTATTATCCAAAGTACAGGTATGAAGACACTAATTGGCAATTGGCGTGAATATACTGCATATATACAACCAGAGATATGAAAAATTGTGCTCTATATGTAATATGAATTGTAATGCATTCTGCTATCATATAAAAATAAAAAATAATAAATAAATAATAATAAATTCATCTTTAAAAGAAAAGCCAGTTGTTTTAAATAGTTAACCTTAAAAAAATAAACAACGTAACCAAAGCTAAACCTGAAATTCCTTAGATAATTAACTTCATGAACATCTCATCTCAGACATATAACTTATTCTCTTCTTTCTCCTCTGTGAGAATTAAGTTACTAAGTGAGAATCTGAGCTGGAGTAGAGCATCTTCTAAAGTAAAATTTACTTTTCTAAGTCATTTTCTCACCGCAGAAGGTAACACAGGCAAAGTAATCTCTTCTTTTTCACTACCTGAAATAGAAATTACTAGCTATAATCAATCTCTCTCTCACCTACACATTTAATTGCCTTTCCTCTCACTTTCTCATCCTTCACCTATTACTAAAGGAAAAATCTTTAAAAATCTTCCTCCTTCTCTTTATTATATGTAAATGCCTGACCCCCCCAAAGAAAAAGAGAACATCCTTGTCATGACTGTCCCTAAAAAGTCAATTTAGGGAGAGGGATGAGGCTCAGTGTTGGTGTGCTTGCCTGACGTGCATGAGACCCCGGGTTTGATCTCCAGCACAGCAAAAAAAAAAGGGGGGGGGGTGCAACAAAATTTAAATGAAAACAAATGCTATATACTTTTCAATTTTTTCTTGTATCTGATTTTGAATGCATTAATTGTTGATATAATAGAAATAAGAGGGGAAAAAACAAAGGAAAATGGAAATATTTATCATGGTCCTATCACTCAAATATATCAGCTAAAATTTTCTTCAAGTTCATTCCAGTACATGTATGTACGCATGAATATTAAAAAAAACATAATTATATATCTTGCTTTTTTTCATTTAACAATATACCATAAACCTTTCCCCACATAATATTCTTCCCTAGCATCTTTTTCAAAAAATAATTTTCAATGACATCATGATTTATGGTGGTGACCAGCAAGTGCCTACCCTCATTTTAGTTCCTTTTTTAATCAAATTTCTCATTTGATGATTTTGGGGAGTGGTGGCGGGGGTTGGGGTGGGGGACGTTGCTAGTCATTGAACTCAGGAGCACTTGAACACTGAGCCACATCCCCAGCCCTATTGTGTATTTTATTTAGAGAAATGGTCTCAGTGAATTGCTTAGCACTTCACTTTTGCTGAGATTGGCTTTGAACTCTCAATCCTCCTGCCTCAGCCTTCCGAACCAGTGGGATTACAGGCGTACACCCACTAGCTCTCATTTGATTTTAACTAAATAATCAATGATTTGAGCACAGTTAAAAATAAGTTCAAGTACAACTTCCTCTAAATTACCAAACAAGAGATAGCAATATTTCAAGATGTAGGACTTGAGAAGGAAATATATACAGTTAATTATAAACATCTCCTAGTATAAATGATAACCCTATATCCTGTCCTTTAACTTCAGTAAACATCCTAGTTTTATGAATTCACATTTTACAATGTTTGCAAAGGTTTATATCTAAAAGCCATTAAAATTTTAGTTTTTTATTTTTTAATGAACCCAGAATCCCTTTTAAACTCCACTTTAATACAGATATTTTTATATTACAGAAAATACCAATAGTCATTTTGTTCTAGCTCTTATCTTAAATCTTACTTTTTGAAATATTAGAACTGTCAATTTATTAAAAGTACTTTCTGATTTATAAGTTTAACAAAACTAACCATTTTCTTTCAACTTGTTACCATTGTTTTTTAGCTGCATAATTTAAGTTTCAAACATAACCTACTAGGTAACTTTAAGAAATATCATTTTTAAGTTAGAGTCCTATTGTACTAAAAGATGTCATATGTAAAAAAACAAAATCTTTATGACACATATACTATAGTATTGGCCTGCATAATAACATTTTGGAGTAACAGTATAACTTAAAATCTTCTCTTTCTTTTTTACTTTGAATCCTTCCTTAAACCCTTACCAAGGGTACCAGAATATATTTTGCTTTCTTTGGAAACAATAATTTCTGTCCTAACCACAAGCTATCTAATGATGCTGCTTAGGTAATAAAACAGGGGCCCAGTATACATTTAAAATTTAAAAGAAAAAAAAAAGTTTTTGCCATCTTGTTTCCATGTCTTTAACTTCCTATTTTTTCTAAAAATGTCATGTCTGTCATATCTTTAATCATCTCAATTCCAAACCTAAACTCAAGTTTCTCCAAATTCCAAAAGACTATATCTGTTTTATTTAATTCTGTATGATCCAAGAGCCAAAGATTGTTCACTGCTATTAATGATCTGCCTATTTCATTTCCTTAAATATAGAATATCCTCAAACCAATCTG